ATATATGTACACACACACACTTCATAAAAGAACTCGCCATGGAAAACAAATTTTATTTTAAGGGAAAAAATCTATCTTCAATTTTGTAGTTGTAGGAAAACATCGAAAAAAAAATAATTAATTCTTCTGAAATTTTCGAATTTTTTTTTCCGAAAAAAGATCTACGTGTTTTTTCACGGAGAATGTTTTTGGGTTGTTCGTTTCATTTTGTGCTGTGTGACGCTGTGTGACGTAGAGCGAGGCCAGGAGGAACGAGCAGCACGGAATTGAGAAAGGGAAAGAGAGAGGTGAAACAGAAGAAAAGTGGAAGGAAAATAACAAAAAAAGAGAAGGTAGTCGGAAAAGGGAGAGATAAAAGAGGGAATAGAGAAAAGAGAAGAAAAAGGGAGATTAATGGGGAAAGGGAGGGGAAGAGTGTGAGGGAAATGGAAGGAAAAAGAAAGATGGAAAGTGATAGGGAAAGAGAGGGAGAAAGTGAGAGGGAAAAGAAATAGAAAGAGGGAGAAAGTGAGACGGAAAAGAAAGAAAGTGAAAGAGGGAGAAAGTGAGAGGAAACAGGAAAAAAGGGAAAGAAGGCGAAAGTGAGAGGTAAAAGAAAGAAAGGGAAAGAGAATGGGAAAAGGGAGAAAGAGAGTGGGGGAAGAAAGAGGATATGGAGAGAGGGGAAAAAAGAGAAACGAAAAAGACTGAGGAGGAGGAAAGAGAAAGGAAGAGAAAGGAAGAGAAAGGAGAAAAGAGAGAGAAGGGAGAATTAAAGAGAAAATAAAAGGAGGAGAGAGAAAAAGAGAGATGGTGATAAGAGTGTAAGATAAGAGAGAGGAAAAGAGAGCAGAACAACGTCCACACGGTTCTGCTAGTTTTGTTTACTATATTTGATTCGTAATTTATATTTTTTATGAATTAAAGAAATAAGCTTATGAATATTTTGTCACAAATTTATTCAAAAATATTTGTCATATGAGACTTTCAAGTTAAACGTTTATCACGGGATAAATCTAAACATTTAACAGGAACATTACTATTCAACTAGGGAATATTAATATTATTAAAAATTAGGGAAGTCCAATTAGTAGGTCTACATTGCGTGAACATTTTTAGCGTTTGGGTTGAAGCGGTTAATTTTGATTCTCCAATTGTGAGTCCAGTTTATGTAATTTTGAACAGAATTTTGTGCAATTTTTATATTAGAATGGGATGAAAACAGTGCAGTATCATCAGCGAAAAGAGACAAGCAACGAAGGGTATAGTAGGAATATTAGACAAGTATAAGTTAAACTAATGAGGAAAGAATTGGGGAAACAGTTGAACCTTGTGGAATTTCTGAATGAATTTGTCTTAAAGTAGAGAGAGAAGAATTAATTTTAGCCGCAAAATGACAAACTTTGTGTTATTCTTAATAAATATAGAGGAGTATTTTTCTACTAATATTACTTTACACGTCTGATGGCATTAGTTTAACGATGCAAAATCATACTGCTCAGCAAATAAATAATGGGGGGAATTAAATAAAAATTCTCGTTCAAGAAAGCGAAACATTATTCATTACAAATAATTAAAGACCTGTCCTTCCTTACAATAACACAGCACATGAAAATACATTGAGGTGATGCAAAGTATCATTTGCTTTTTGAGATTCGAATAAAATAAAAGATTGTAGGCAGTTGTGTGTAAATGTGGAAGATGACTGCGCAATACGCACTCGATCATGTTACCATACATCTACCACGACACGTCATGCGATTAACATTTTCAACAAAACAGCACACGCTACTCACAATACCTATTATGCGACTCATTTTATTACAATTATCCTCCTCGACTCTTGTAATGACGCCCATCTGATTAACTGCGACATTCGGCCAAGCGATTAATTTGATCTATAACTTGAGGTGACAACCGTGTGAAAGTTTCGAAACTTCTAATTCTCTTTTATTTCAGTTACAGACACGGTGTAATATACATTTATAGTTATAGTGGTTACGGCACTGGCCTTATCATATGACGAACTTTCAATCACATACTAAATTTTATTCGTAGTTTTTACCCTAATAATGAGCAATGTTTTAATATGAAAGTGTTCCAGGGAAGACTCAACATATTAACGTTCCAATTCAATTATGGCGATTTTCTGAATCCCCTCTGCCTTTCCTAGTATTTTTTATAATACTACGTCGTATAGAAAAGATACAGAAAATGCTGCGAATTAGTACAGATTTTTCGACACGAAAATGCGTTTGCAAGTTCTTGATTCCGAAAATGGGTTTTTTCTTGCTTCTACATTGTAGTAAATTATTTCTTGGAAATAATATAGTTAGATCTATTTGTGGATTATTGATAGCGGAAAATTGTTTTCGGCAAAACGTCTACTCTTGTCTGAACAAAACCAGCACCTAAACCATATATTTGATTTATATTCCTAGATTGATCTGTGTGATGTTGCGATCCTAGAATTCGAAACAGATCTTTTAATTTTGGAGAGTATTTTACATGAAGCTCTTAGGACATCCTAGAATTATTCCAAATTTCGTCTTTAATTTTTCGTCACGAAGAGAAAAGTATGCTTACAAAATGGACACATCCGAGTTTCAGAAAACAACTAACATTTCAAACAACTACTCAAATGCAAATTTCTGTATTAATTGCAAGGTAAGTTAAACGCCGTATCCATCACGTTGGGTCGTATCACCTTTTCATTTTTAAAGAAAAACATAATATTCTGCTGTTCGTTTGTACAGACTTATCTGACACATCCATGCATCCAACCCTAATAAAATATCCACTTCCCACGATATTATTCATTAATGCAGATAGAGATAGCAAAGCAGCGTGAATACGCCAATTGAACGCAACTTACCTCATTCATCACGCGCTACGCTACTTCACGTTCGACAAGTAAATAAAACCTCCTTACTTTATACCTCCCCCGACCATGTCACCGTCCAACAATGAAATACTCGAAATAACATCTCAAAGTGCCATATCGCGGCATTGTATAACAACGTCGCGTTCGGTGATGATATCAAGTTATGTACATTACATAATAATACAAAATTATAGTACTCAATGTTTGTTCAATTTTTCTTTCATATTACATTCAAATCGTATTTGAAGAGAAAAAATCTAACTGGGCTAATTTCAAATTAGATTTGATTTTTGTTTTAACGAAAATTCATCATACATTGTGAATACAAATTAAAGAATAGAGTGAAACTCTAATTAATACTGGTATTTTCAACAGCAAAATTAAAATAACATTAATTATTTCATAAACTTTTCATCCACTTCTCTGCGAATTTTTTCTTGTGGCTCATAGTTGGAAAGACACCTGCATAGTTTATTAATTTCAAGCAGAAATTAGGCGGAAACAACCTTTTTTTCAAAATATTGTACATGACACTTAAATAGCTGAATGTTTAGAACAGATTTTCTTGAGGGCAAAAATCTCTTTCTGCAATTGTCTAATTCTTAAACACTAAAATTTTGCAATTTTCAATTTTTTTGTTTTTTTGTTTTTTGTTTTTTTTGGGGGGGAGGGGCAACGTTTGATACTTTACTCACCGCTGTGAGTAACTCACTCGCCCCTCCATACAAATTCTTGAAGAGTGAACTCGGATACATTGCGGTCGAGTGAGTTGACACTACTAATACTAGTAATCTCAATTTTGAAATGTTTTGATACAAATGACTCTTATTTTATTACTAATTCGCTATCGCAAAAACAAAATTTGTACCACTCATCTCCACCAAAAACGAGTGATAGACCTGCTTGTTATCAAGCTGGCCCCCACTATAACAGCAATCAAACCAACCCGTTTTGGGGGTGAAGGTGAGCGAAAAAAATGATATTGCGGTATTAAATTAATAATAAAATAATTTAAAATTCTGGTACTACATTGATTTGATTCTGCTGGTGTACGGGCTTGATGAACCTGTTGGTATCCACTGTTTTGACAAACTGTTATTGTCCGTGTGCAAGACGTGTCCATAGCACACTATTTGTCTCCTCTCTACTTCATCAAATATTGCTTTTTCTATTCATTATTTCGCTTCGTATATAATTATTTCTTTTCCTGTAGTTTGTTGTATCCACAGCTTCACCGCAAATGAGAATAGCTCCTCTTTGTTTACCATCCTTTGATACACAATAGGAGAAAACATTTCGAGACATTCCTGAGAAAAAACGCGAATACTACTTCGAAAAATCACTCATGAACTTTCTTTAAACCGTCTTTAAAGAACAGATTTCATTGAGAAATTTCTAACTTCAATACTTTGGCTGCAGGAAGACACGGAAAAAAGCGGAACTTTTCCGATTTTCCAAAAATCGTCAATTTCAATGAAAAAAATGAGACCTGCACTAGGACTGAGGTTGCGGCTGGCCATGGCAGATTACACAGAACTACGAGGCACATTCGGAAGGCTGCAGAGCGATGAAGACGAGAGGTGAATTGTTGAGTTAGGCATTAGCATGGACATACAGAGCGGCAGAGCCAATCTAGGATCTTCTGAAAGTACAGAGCGATAGTCACGGTGGCCATGAGGAACACTATCGGTGAACAGGCTCCATACGACATGGAACTCCATGCCATCTCACTAGGGTGGCAGGACTTGTGAAGGAATACCTCAAACCGCTCTTCGTGGAGCTTTATACTGTACCTCCAGATTTGAACCCGGTTGTCATCGTCAGCAAGGCAGAAGAGAAACTCGTTGGTCTACTACGAACCAGTGTGCATGTTCCTGATAAAAGGCAGATCTGCAAGCGACGCTGCTTGGGTATGAATTGAAGGCGTCAAAACAGTGGTTATGTGGCGCGCCCTGCAGCGTGCATTGGTTCTTGCGCTAACAGAATGGCTCTTGCCTACGACGGCATTTATGGGACCGCTGAATGACGCCTACCGCTGCCGTTTGAGCTGTTCGTGCCTGAGCTGTTCGTGCCTGAACCGGCAGTCCTTCGCCTCCGTGGTACGTGACACAAGTGCAGACACTGCATATCGTGAATGCGTGTCTATCATTAACCATTGCCATCAACAGAGCTTGATGGTGGAGTGCGCATGGTCGGCAGCAGGCGACGAGACATGACCATCCTCCCGTAGCCCGAAGATGCAGCACCTCTCAAAAGAGAATGTCTGCGTAGAACGCGACGCCTTGGCATAGTGCGGGTGCGGCTAGCTCTGGAGGCGCTACCCAATGGCACGATTGGTCGACCAATCGATTGGAACCATCTTACCACGGCCAGGGGACCGAACGCGACGTCACGCCCCACCCCCAATGGCGCTGCTGACCGAAAAAAAATAATCGCTCACTTATTCACACCAATGATGGTGTCAATAACAGACAAATTTGAAACGGATTGATTGAGTGCTTCAAAGTGCAGCATTTGTTTTATTTTGAGTGAAAAGAATGTTGCTTATACATTTCAATACAACATATTTTTCTTCGGTTATGATTGTGTTGTCAAGTAGAATATACAAAATTAACGTTGAGTCAGCGCCCTAATGGCAAGGAGATGAAAAACGTAACATCAAAAGGTAGAAATAAATTTGTTTTCTTATAATTTTGGGAAAGAACCACATTTGGAATATTTTTCAACTACGTAAAGACAAAACAAAAACTAAAATTCGAATTGATTTGGATTATTTCATGCAGTAAATTAAATATGGAACCTTTTTTATGGTTAAAACAAATTTTACGAATAGAGAAACACATTTGAATGTTTTATTATAAAGGTTCCGAATTACCCAATCAAAAAGTATGTGCAAAAATTTAAAACATCATGGTGTAGTCAGTCGATATAGTGGGTTGTGCTAAAACCATTATTTAAAAAGACTGGTTTACATGCCCTGCTTAATTATTAGTACGAAATGGGAATGGGGAATAAGATGATTTTGGCGTACGAGGGTTTGAAATATGACCAAGTAACAGTTCTTTCACTTATTTCACTGCTGGTAAGTTTAATCTGCATTTCCTTAATGCAATGTTTAAAATAGTAATTTATTCACCAAGGGCGTTGTAAGGGTTCTAATGATCGAGCGGCGACAAAATAACGGAGGTCTTTTTGTCGCCCGAGATCATTAGAACCAGTTAACGCCCATGGTACATACATAATTTATTTTTTGTATTTAATTTTAATGATTCAAATTTACTTATTTTCTAATTTACTAAATGTTAACTTGACTCGGTTTGTCTTTTTTAATATTAATTTCATGCAAAAACAGCAGGTCCTTTTTCGCACTTATTAATGGTTAAGTAATACTATTTACACCACAATTTCTCTCAGGATTAACACATCTTAGTTACATTCCTTACAAATGGTAGAACATTTAATACAAAAACTAAATATTTTCAAGCAAATATCAACACAAATTTGACAATTATAACTGCATCTCATGCAGCTAAATCATGTCCCAACAATGAGAGGTAATAGACAGAAATTCAGCTGCCATCTCGCAGCGCGGGATGCCATAGTTGCATTTCAATCTGCTATTCCCTTAAGGCTAGCAATTTTTCTTTCATATTACATTTAAATCGCATTTTCAAAAAAGATTACCTAATTGGACTAATTTTAATTAAGGTTTGAAAATTGCTTGAACTAAAATACATCAATTCATTAAAAATACATATACATTCCTCCCAACACGGAAAAAAATATAGATTATCAAATATGTTTTAAATCATTTCGAAAATATTAATTTGTAAACGTATATCAAAAGCTGGAACGTAAGAAACGAACAATGAAATATGAAATAATAAACAAATTCTCACTTCCGAAGCATCCAACTAACGCGTTCTGTCACGTTGACGAAGAGCTGAAAATTAGAAGCGGTGAAAATGTTTGACGCCGAAGTACCCAAAAATACTCATATTTTCAAAAATTCAACGTTACCTTATTTGAAGATCTGTTGTTATGAACACATTTTGTTAAGGAAAAAGTGTATTTTCACAGTTGTAGTGGTAGGAAGATGCCGAAAGTTTTTTTGGAATTTCGAAATATCAGAGATTTTAACAAATACGAGAACTGCACCGTTCTTTTAAGCGTCCTTTACGCTAATTAAGATCAAAATTTAATTAAAAAATGTGAGGAATTTAAAAAAGGATTAAAGAAAATAAAAATTGCATATGTTTGACAAAATCTCGCACAAAATATTCATATTTTCGAAAATTGAACATAACATTATTTGAAAATTTGCATTTCGTAATGAAAAGAGTTAACGTTTATAATTGTAGTTGTAAAAAATGCTTAAAAGATTTTGAATTTTTGCAATTTTGAAAAATCAGAATTTTCTACGAACATGAGACCTGCATGATAACTATTAAGCGTCCTACACTCTATCCGAGGTCAAAATTTAATCAAAATTGTTTGCATTTGTTTTGAGAAAAAATGTTTAAACAAAATTAAAAATTGCCTATATATCATGCAAAAGTACGCGACAAATAGTCAAATTTTCGAAATATTTTACAGGACCTTATTTCGAAATCTGTCTTTAATGACACTGATTTTACAGGAAGAAATGTCTATCTGTAATATGGTAGATGTAGGAAGACACCGAAAAAAATTAAACTTTTGCTAATTTCTAAATATAAGTGTTTTTTGACGTACATGAGACCTGCACTATTCTCTTATATGTCATTCACACTATCCAACGACAAAATTGAATCAAAAATGTTGGTTGTATTTTTTGAAAATGTCCCAGATGCTTCATGAAAAGTACCCCCCCCCCAATTAAAATAACGATTTCAAATTCAAGTGGTCGCGACATCAGTGAGACTGACAGGAATATGAATATTGGAGAAAATCAGCTAAACAGTTTAGCCGCTAGCGTTATTCACAGACGAATCAGATGTTTTGACGTAATTCGATTTTTCGGTATCAAAGAACCCCTAACACGCATTCTGACTACACGTGTTACAGGATTTTTCTAAATTTAGCAACTAGATATTTGCACCTTTTCGTTACCAGGGATCGGCAATAAGAATTTTCCTGTCAAAAATTCGCTGTTTTTTCTCGCGACATGAATTTCTCTCTACTGCGTAAGCGGTAGCGAAAAAATAAAAAGGCGACTTTTTTAAATAAAGGACCCAGAAAAGGTGTGTACAATTCTTTCACTATGCTGTGTATTCTAGCAAGTAGAAATGTATATTGATAATGAATTGGATGCAATGATATCAACAAATGGCCGTTATTTTGAATAAATTGAATAAAATTCCAAAATAAATTAGCTTCGTTGGAAGGATCGTGACTCCCGTGGTTCCAAAGTACTATTTGGGTATATATGAGGCCTTTCAAAGCCATAGCAGCTAAGTACCGACACTTTGGAAACGAAGGTTTTGTCATATAAATATTATATAAATCGGTGCCAATACGCATTTAAAAGAGCGATGTTCTAAACACCTTTGAAGCTGTTGTAACATCTACCTAGAGACAGATAGTTGAATATCAAGAATTCCAATTCATACAGTTTTAATTGATTTTCCGAGAAAAACATGTTTGACACTTAGCTCCTATGGCTTTGCAAGTCCTGGTCAATACTACTTCTAAGTCGCATTAGCGCAACTTACCTTCAGCAAATACAAGGAGCGAATTCAGATGACTTCGGCGACGTCGGGACAACTAACGGCGCGCTCGGCTGCTGCTGCAGGTTGGCCGTTGGAGACCTCGATTGTGTGGTAAAAGGCTTTGGGGTCATCCATAAATTACGTATCGCTAAAGAGGGAGAGGAAGCCTTACGCTGCGTTTTATGGGGATAGGAGAATTCTATTTTAGTGCTACGTTAGGCTGATCCTTTTACTTTCTCGTATACGTACGTATATACGGAGAAATTTACGTAGTATAGAAAAAGTTATGTAATGCTGAGCTAAAAAACGGCGATTTTTCAACCCCAAAACTCTTTTTTTGGGTTTTTTCTACAAAAAGAACGATAAAATAATTTCTAATATATAGTAAATTACTCCATCTAACACGCTATGTAATGAGGTTCCAGAAATTGTAGGGCCGGAAAAGTATTGTTAAAAACGTCCGTCCGTCTGTCTGCCCGTCCGTCGCACTTCAAGCGGCCATAGATGGCTTGCAAAAGTATGTCGCAAGACCGAAAGGTTTGACCAGATAAAGAAATTAGAAAACTAACTAGTACGAGAAAGTCTGTGCCATTCTGTATTTCGGCAAGTTACTTTTACGTTAACGTAGAAACATACGGCGTAATATACATAGTTTAGAGAAAGTTATGTAATTCTGCGAAAAATTGATTTCGAGATTTCAACGAAAATACTCGTTTTGGAGTTCCCTGATACAAAAAAGTGTTTGTTTGTTCTTGTTTTTTTCACACCTTCCGTCCATTTGTCTGTCCGTCTGTCTGTGAGCACCACTAGCGTTTAAACCATACGTAGGATTTTTTCTAAAATATTCCTATGGAGATCTCAGTCAACTGAAACGTTTCGATTTTGAGAAGAATTCATTATCGTTTGGAGTTACTTTAGGAGAACCCCTGCGACATTTTAAATTTTTTTCACAAATGGCTCCAATATTTTTTCTTTAAGTTTTTTTTAAAGAAAAAAAGGAATAGGGAGTAATACACGCTTATAAAGATGGAATATGTCCGTTATTTACTGTTAACTCTAATGTTTCGAAAATTTCAAAAGTTTGAATGCTTTTGGCTCCTTTACGCTATTAGAAAACTGAAGATAGATATTTTTCTTGAAGTATTTTTTTTTCTCGCGTTAGTTCTTTCATGAAATCATGTACATTTTACTTTCTCGCAGTTACTAACGTACGAAGAGTAAGTATTGTAATCGAGCGTCGGCAAACGGCAAATTTTCCACACAAATTCTCGTATTGTCGGGCCCTGGTAAGGAAAAAGAGGATAAATCCAATTGCTAAATACAGAAAAAATATCTAACACGTGGTGTGGCCAGAATCCATGTTTTGTGCGCCCTTCATACCGAAAAATCGATTGACTGCAAAACATCTGTCTGTCCGGTTCAGCCTATTTTCTCCAAAGTTGATATTCACCAATCGTTCGAGCTGATGTCGCGGACCCTGGAATTTGAAACCGATATTTTA